CTTCAGCTGAAAAATAGAAAATGAGAGCTTTTTTTACCCTGCGTACCCCAGCATCTGGTGAGGAGCCTGCTATGTGCATGCTCAGTGTAGCTCAGGGGCTGTAGAGCAGACCCAGGAGAGAGACTTACGGAGCACTTTCCAGTAATTTTTGATAGTGCCTTTATAATGAAACATTTGTCTTCTTGTTGTGACCTGTAATTTAGGCTGTTAAAGGTACTGTTCTCAAGTAGTCTTTGAAGTTCTGCTGGCAATGCGTTGATCAACTTGTCCTGCCAATTGAGAAGAAAGAAAGGAAGGGGAAAAAAAAGAAAAAAAGGCACACAGAGCTACATAAAACTGGCACTTCGAGAACTTAATTGACTGAAAAGAGAAGGCAGTTCAGCACTGGCAGATCAGATTGAATGGAAACACATAGTTGGACTCTTTTCTAAAGTTTTATTTGAAAATACCCAAAAAAAGTGGATGTGGAGAGAACAAAACCAGACCTCCAACCTTCTTCTTCTGTATGAAACTGTCCTTTTCTCTCATCTCTGAAGTGTTCGGCTTTGCCAGTAGAAAGAGAAGAGAAACAGCTGTTCAGTTTTGCTTAGGCTTGCAGTGATTGTTCTGCGTGTAGCTGCCAATTCTCATTCCTCCATGGTCAGGGAGGATCGAACAGTTTAGAGGTATAGGTGTCCCCCACATTTCTTTGCTTCTGTATCTCCTGGATTATAGACTGTTTTCTACTCTCAGCCTTGGTGTTCCGCTTCTGTTTTTAATCATGCTCAGAGGACGTGAATTCAGTCACTACATGTTGTGCTGTTGTCAGGCTGTGCTCCTGCATTCCATACAAAGTGATTTAACACAACTTTGGCTGATATGGCCAGCTTGAATAGATAAGTTAAGCGTTAGGACAGAGTCACTGAGAACTGCAAGGGGAAAAAATTAGAATGAGTACAGTACTGAGATTCTTTCCAAAGCTGCATTCTGAAATAGCATTGTATTTTTAGACAATCTTTCTTGCTTTAAAAACATGACACATAATTACATTACATGATATTTAGCTATTTGCCTCTGGCATTTCTCCAATATAGAAATACTTTACACCTCGCGCATAAATGAACTATGAAACTCATTGCCACGAGATACTTTGGAGGCAAAAAATGTTAGTGGGTCCCCAATCAGATTAGGTGGGTTCTTGGGGAAGCTTCTTCCACACTATGGAACATGGTAGTAGGGATGATACAGACAGTCTTAAGTGTCAACTGCTAGAAGCAGAAGCTGCATGGTGATGTTATGGACATTCTGGTGTTAATCCTGCGTCTTATACTAACTTCCTAAATCTCTCCTGCGAGCTGTTATTGCAGGGGGAGAGCTGGGCCATCAGTTTGATGCAACATGGTATCTCCTATCTTACATCACATAATGTTCCAGGTGCTGCCCCTCATTGCTTGGGATACTTGAAAAATTATTAAATGCTTTGTGAAACACTGCAGCTCAATTATTGATTGCTTCAGTATTTGATATGGTACTTCTCGAAATTTGAATTAATCAAGGTTGTGCACTAATTAATAGGTCTTGCACTTCCGAAGCACCTGTAGCACCATACACATGCCTTAGCTTTTCTGTTTTGAGGAGAGTAGGAAATGGAGCTGCATATAGGTACGTGTACGTGATCAGTAGAGAACTGCAATATAGAAATTGAAATTTTTTAATCTCAAGATGGTTAAAATTTCAGTTAATAACCATCTACTGTAGGTCAGTTCAAAAGTTCTTTTAAGTGAGTGTGTCTCTGTTGACATCAGTGATGTTACACCTGCTTATATCCATTGAGCAGCTGGTTTATATATTTAAGAAACTAAGTTTATTCATATATTTAAGAAAATATATAAATAATGCAGATAGATATAAATTTAGTTTATATAGTCTTTATAAATATAAATATGCTTTTCTGTTACTATCATTGTCAGTAGATACTGCTAGTGCTAGGTTGTACAAGTAGGTCAGATGTTTTGGGGAACTGCTCACAGATGCAAACATTTGGTCATGTATTCAGCAAAGCTTCCTGAAAATGTGGGTTGAAAGCATTGATTAAAAATTAACCTTCTCATAAAAGAATATGCATATTATTACCAATGGCAGCAATAAAGGGTATCGCTGTTGTGGCTCAGAAGAAATCGCTTTGCAATATATAACATGGTTGGTTTTTTGAGGTATGTGTGTGTAATCTGAAATAGCAATACAATTGCAGCTTGCATTACTGATGCCAAGAGCTTTGACCTTCAGCCACTTACCTGCTTGTTACTCACAAAGGTGTGACAAGACATCAGGCCAAAACAATGCTGCCCTTGAAGGATAAGTGGATGGGGTTTTTTCAGTAAAACTAAATCAGTTTCTCCTGTATGTATTAGGAACTGCATTTGTTTACACATGTATTAGTTATGTTGCTTTTGAGTGTAGAAGACCTGACCTCCGGAAACCAGACAGATGTAGATTTCTTATCTGATAGGCTTTGTCTCCATGGGTTGGAGCAGTAATCGGTACACCTGTGGGTCATGTACAGGGGATAGATTCCTCCTCTGATTTGCCATCGTATGTACTTGAACTACTTCCCTTGTAGAAATGGAATAAGACTTACTCTTGTGAAATGCAGGATGTCCTTAAATGCAGGTGAACTTTGACTCTTTCTCCCTCCCCACACCTCCAATTTCACATACTCTTAGTGTAAGGTGTAGGCTTGCCAAGGATTCTTGTAACCATTATATTACTGAGTATTTTCAGGTAAACACCTTCACCACTTGACATCTTTGTATAAAATCTGAGTGCAAGATACGTGCAAATACTTGCCTGTATTAATGTTAGTGCCGATAGATTGTAATGAATTTACTCTAATCCATGCTTTGATTATGTATTTACATGCGTATTTACCATTTGTTTATCTATAAATACTGCTGTAAAGAAGACTCTTAAATAAGACAGTTCTGTCTTTTCTGCATGGAAATGGTAGAAGTAAAACTGGTAATAACTGGGAGATGCAGAGGCTTTGATTTCTACAGCATTATGGCCTAGCTATAGCTCCCAGACAGTTGCAGATTAAGATTTGCATTGTATAAAAACTCAGTTTTCGGATTTTGTTTTTATGAAATTTAATGTCTCATTAAATACGTGTTTCTAGGCATATGTCTATTTGTATTTGTATGTATTTCTTGAAGAAATATTGAATATTATTTAGTCTACAAAATGCTAGAACTGGTATTTCAGGTCCCTGGGAAGTACTGCATATTAAGCAGAAGTAATCAAGTAATTTCTCTTCCTCTGCTTTCACAATATGATGGTTGTCTAAAACTCTTGTGATTTTGTAACAAAGTTCCACCAGGAGACAGGAACGATACTACCAATTATAAACATGGTTGTGTTTGCAAGAAAACAGTACTGATAAGCTGCCATTGCATAGACTTGCTGGCTGCCTGCTTGCTCAGAAATTGTTCTGCTGTGGCTGTGAAAACTACATGGTTTTGCGCTAATTTTATGCATGTAGTGTCATTCTGTTTATTTTATTATTCAAAGAATCTTCCTAGACTGACTGATAGAATCTTACTAGACTGACTAAGCCATTCTTTATATTGTCAAGGTCATCCCAATTCTATCAGAGAGTGATGTGTTCACTTTGGCCTAGGTTTTGAAGGTTGGCATGGTGTGTGCAGATCGTACAAGAGTTTATCATAATTTGAAGCACTTCAAATACAAGTTGTATGTGGATTGCAGCTCTGTTACCGACTTGGATGGGGTTCAGGATGAACCCGTCAAAGACACAGTCGAACGGCTCTTCACCCAGTTAGAAGGCAGTGGGTGGATTCAGAAGGTACGACTGAGTTATCCGATGTATTCTTTTCCAAGTAGATAAAAGTAAGCTGAGATAAAATGTCGAATTTAATTGATCAGTTCTGAATTACTGGGCTCCACTCACGTAACTCAGCTTAACCATTCATCCACTTCTGCTGACCCAGTCTCTCAAACAGTGGTGTGCTGCCGCATTCACGTGGAGTTTGTGCCAGCTTTTGACATGAAGCTTTCTGACAGCTGCATGATCTCAGGGCTGTGGCGGGCAGGCTCCTGTTTCGTTTGAAAGCAGCAACACAGCAAACTCAAACTGTAACTTCGACAGATTGGAAACACGTCCGTGAGGCACAGCAAGAATATTTTACTCTTCTGTTTACGCTGAAGTACTTTGAATTATTCAGAAACACTTTATAAGCTATTTGAAGACAACCTGTAGTATAATTGCATTTAGCAGGCTTTCAGATGTCATTGCTTCTGAGTTGTTATTTGCATGCTTCTTAATGTATTGAAGAAAAAGCAGTCTTTATCTAATTCAGTTATTAAACATTGATAAAATAATACAGGTTTTATTTTATTTGCAGAGGTATGGTGATCTTGAAGACTACATGAATGATGCAGACAGTTTCCAAGAAGAGAAAATGGATTGAGTGGTCATACAGCTCTTTGAAAACATCTTGTAAAAATTTGAATTGTCTGCTCTATTTTCATGCACTTTATCTCTGCTTGGTCTTCAGGATTCTTTTTAGGCTGTGTTATACTTAAATCCATATGCCTTTAAACTACTGTTTGAGAATGTGCTGTTTCTTTTTTTCTCATGTGTGTCAATAATAACCCAAAGTTTTACCAAATCAGTCCTTCCAGTCTCACTGCATAGGTCACTTTAAGTTTCCTTCTGTTCTTAAAAATAACATCCCAATATCTGTTTACTTGTGTAATAAAACTTCCACCTATTTATATTGACCTGCATCGTAGGGAAGGTAGGAGACACTGAGGCCTTTTGAAGTGGATATATTTGGAAAGGTAAGGCTATGTTATACAGGAATGTATGACTTGCATTGTACCTTCCTTGTTGCTCGTTATCTGCAAGTCCAACCGTTTAGAATGATAGAATAAATGGGACCCAAATGCAAAGATCTGTTTCCCTTCTGAGGAATCGGTATAGACTGTTGCAAGACAACAGAGGAAGTAGTCTGCAATCCTGACTCCATTTGCAGCACAGCAGCCATTCCTCTCTTTACAGAGTAGGTGATGAGTCACATTATAGGTGTCATACGGACGGAGTCTGGCTTAGCCATCTAAATGAACACTTAGGCCCACAGTGCTGTCTCTGATAAACAGCTGGGGCAATTTACTGAGACTTTCAACATCAAATTATGTTGCACAAACATAATGGCAACAACTTGCATTAACTGAAAAATTAAGTGAATGGATTAATGTGGTCATACAAGATACACAGGAATTCTTCCAGGTAACTTAACAGAAAGTGGGAGTTACTCAGAATCATGATGCATGGCTTACCTGAATTGCATGAAGCCCAAATCAGAGGTCTTTGAGGCCAAGGGAACAGATTTTAGAGGAGTTAGGAAGGGTTAAGTACTGTATTGTCCATTCGGAAAAACTGGGCATGAGCTGGCAATGTGCACTTGCAGCCCAGAAGGCCAAACGCATCCTGGGCTGCATCCAAAGCAGGGTGGCCAGCAGGTCGAGAGAGGGGATTCTGTCCCTCTGCTCCGCTCTGGTCAGACCCCACCTGGAGTCCTGCATCCAGCTCTGGAGCCCTCAGCACAGGAAAAACATGGAGCTGTTGGAGCAAGTCCAGAAGAGGCCACAGAAATGATCCGAGGGCTAGAGCACCTCTGCTGTGAGGAAAGGCTGGGAGAGCTGGGGCTGTTCAGCCTGGAGAAGAGAAGGCTCCAGGGAGACCTTATTGCGGCCTTTCTGTACTTAAATGGGGCTTATAAGGAAGATGGAGAGAGACTTTTTTACCAAGGCCTGTAGTGACAGGATAAGGGGCAATGGTTTTAAACGGAAAGAGGGTAGGTGTAGATGGACGTGAGGAAGAAATTCTTTACTCTGAGGGTAGTGAGGCCCTGGCACAGGTTGCCCAGAGAAGTTGTGGCTGCCCCCTCCCTGGAAGTGTTCCAGGCCAGGCTGGACGGGACTTTGAGCAACCTGGTCTAGTGGAAGGTGTATCTTTAAAGGTCCCTTGCAACCCAAACCATTCTACGATTTTGTCCCTATACTTTGTTCTGAATATAAAATCAAGTAGGTGTGGTCTAAGATAAGATGCAAGGCATAGGGTTTTGAATCCTGTTGGGAACTGTTCCCACATGCTGCTGTATGCACATGCTCTTCTGTTAGTCTGTTGTAGCTGAGCAACTTAGTGAAAGGGAAGATCTTGTTAACACCCTAGATTCTTTTAACAAATTGCTCTCTCAGAAACAAAATTAAGGAAACCTAATTTCTGATTAAGAAGTTCCCGCATTCATTATGCTACTCTACTGGTAACAGATACGCTGACTGGCTTAGCTGCTGCCAGGTGTATTGCTTAATGGTGAACATCTGTTGCTTTTTTCCATAGGAACTGGACCTTAGATTTGTCATTTAGTACCCTTTTCCAGCATTCATTGTAAGAAATGAACTGCTTTTATATTTTAAGGGCTTGAAATTCAGCAATGTTTTATATGCTATTAGAGTGAGCTAATATCATCAGTTTTCCATTGTACTACATACAGATAGAAGATGTACAAACCAAGATGAAAAATCCCAGCAAACAGATGGAGACTTACTCTCAAGTAAACTTATGTTGAGGATATTATTTCCATACCTTAACTGTGAGTTAAATATGTAAATATTCTGAGATTTAAGGTATCTTCTGCCTATCTCCCTGGTTACCAAAGCTGAAGGAAATCTTCTCTATTCTTTTTCCTTCTTCATCCCTGTTCTTCTGGGAATATTGGTGAGAACACATTCTACTTCAAAGTACTCGGGAATCCGTCTCAAATATGTCCATTTGAGGAAAAGTAATGCCCCTTGATGCCCCACTTCTTTCTGTTAACAAAATCTCTCTACATTTTTATTGGCTTCTATAGAATAATAAAATAACATTTATGTTTGGTGTAACTTTATTCTTACAAAGGAAAACCATTCTGAAATAAATAAGGTTCGTACCACATAATGGAGTGTGCTCTCTCAGAGCCTTCCTGACTGGTCTTGATTTCTGCTGCCCTCTGAATTTTCTGAAAACTCTTAAGCCTGTAAATTTTTATTTTAAAATTTTGCTATCAAAATGAATATTTTGCTATCGAAATGAAAAATCTCATTTTGCCACATTTAAACAATTTGCTACCATGTCAAAAAAAAAAAGTTTGGGAAGCTTTGGCTTGCTGGTTACTGATAATATTTCAAGAATACAAACATTTTGACTGAAGTGTTCCAGTGATTAGTTTTACTCATTTTTTTATATCTACCACATCCCAGATCATGTATCTCACCTCCTATTTGTTCACCTAAAAAGTGTGAGCTATCCACTTCTTCCTTGTTCTTGCAGGCATTTTTTTCCAGATCTTACATTTTTCTGTCTCTAGCAGGGATATGAAAGTATCCTGTTAGAGTTTCTTGGAAGAAGGTGCCTCCATAGCTTTACTCACCTTGTCTGTGGCATCACCAGTTAGACTAAGAACATGCCTAGAACTGGTATCACTGATTTCTGTTTCAGTAGGAAGCTGATACTTGGTCTGGCTTGGCAGGAGCTGACATAATGTTTGCGTGTGTGTAGTCTCTCTTAAACTTTGATATTCCCCTTACCAAGATTGGAGGAAGTGATAATATTTTGTGGTTGTTTTTTTACCTGAAGAGTTTCTGCAAGACAGAGATTGTGAAGTATCATTACATTATGCTTACATTTGTCATCACCACAGGAAATGAAAAGATTTTGTAGAAGAGCTGTATATATAAAAATTTAGATTAAATTTTCCAGGACAGGCTGTAAAAGCTAGTACTTGTACAGTCTGAAGTACAAAGAGGGCTCTTACCCCCTGAGACTATCTATATATAGAAATACTCAGTAAGAATATTTCTAGCAGCAAAATTTTGTGCAAATATCTAAAGATGGGAGAAGTCAGAAATGTGACTGGTCTTTCATACTTCCTTTCCCACATTACAGAGTTTGAGTGGAGTTAGGGGTTGAGAGACTATAGTGTTTGTTCTGGTAGGACATTTTTAGTTGTCTTTAGTGTTAATTTTTGAAGCAATAGCTCTAATTAAGATAAAGTACCTGTCTTAATGGAACAATGCAGAGAGCTCAGTCTGTGATTAGACTTGGCGCGGATGATTAATGATCATACCTGGAAATTACTTTAGTTCCTGTAATGTTTGGATGATCTGCTCTAGTTTAAAGTTCACGCAGGTATTTACGCACAGGATCTGGCTTACTAACATGATGTGCTTCTGGGAGAGAAGGCCCTTTTCTATGTTCTATGTCCAGTCCTTGCCATGAAGTATGAAGTGATTTTTCTCCCCATGTCCCTCAGTTTTTGGAAAGAAAGTCATCTGTGGATCAAATGGGGTAGTAGACTTTGCTAATAGTAGATAGCTGTCACTGTCATTTTTTTGACAGTGGAGGCTTCTGCTTCAGCAGGCAATTACAGGCAATTCCCATGCTCAGCTCCTCTAGTTTACTTTTATTTGGATAAACAAAGACTTGTAGTTTTATCCTTCTTTAAGTCTGTCTGGATAAACAGAGTGGGTGTGTTAGATAAACACATGTAAATACAATACCACTCCAAGAGAAATATCCAGCACACACAAAATACACTTTATAAAGTTGACTTTCTGATTCTGCTTTGAGAAATATGAAATACCAATTTCTAATCTGAATTTAGAGGTGAGACGAAAGAATGTAAGAAAGTGTGATCTACCAGCCAAGGAATAAAATGAGAAATACGTGAAATGGTGTTGAAAGAAACAGATAATGAACACCCCCCCCGCCCCCCCAGTGGCTCCACTTCCCTGAACAGTGTATGTGAATTTTGGTATTTTTCTAGGTGATAAGCGATGGCATGGGGTTGTTTTGGTTTGGTTTTGGTTTCCCTGTTGATTATTAAATAAGATGTAGACACAGTTTCTTTAGATTGCTCTGGGGGTTATATTCTTACTTAAAAAAACTGGTGTGTGTTTAAGATGGCTTATTTTACAGTTTAAACAGAGCAGTAACTGCATGCACCTTGTGCCCAAAATTTAAGGACAAGAAAACTGACTCAGGTGCAGACTCTGCTCCGAAGTTAAACAATTTACCAGGCGAGCGGCAGGGTACGCGAGCCTGCCGAGCTGGAGTACCCCAGACAATGCACACATGTGTAACTGTAGTCGTTCAAAATGGCCAAGAACTCTCGCTGAAAAGCAAAAAATGGAAAAGGCTGAAAATTCAAAGCTCCAGCCTGCAAAATCCTCCGCAGGACTGATACTAAGCATGTGCCATTTCGGTGGAGTTAGTAGAGCTTTGAGGTAACTTGATACGTGATTTCTAAACACAGATGAACAAGGTATGCGCCTAGATTTAAGCATGCACTCAGGTTTTTAAGTGACATGGGTTCAGCACAGTCTTTTTGTTCCATTTTTGGAAAGTTATTAGCACAATGGGACGTCT